TTAAAAGCAATGGACTTTCAAAGACCACATCCTAGATGAACTGCTTCTGGACAGTCTGGATGAAAGCAGCACTACCAAGTCAGGTTAATTACCTCACTATGCAACACAGGAAAGGCTCAAGTCCTTGCTAAATCCAGAAAGATGCCACCAAACAAGGTCTCAGTGACCACAAGGCCCAATTAAGAGCTGCAAAACCACTTCCCAAGGCCCTCATTTGGTCTGCAGACAACAGCATGGGAGTCGCTCTATGAAGAGCTTCAGAAGCTTTTCAATTCTATCTCTGAATGCTTTAAAAGAAAAATCAAGCTGCGATTTCAATACACACACTTGGAAGGAGCAGTTTACACTCGTTCGACGGCACAGGAATTATACATGCGTAGAGTACACAGGCACAGCAAGTCAAGCGACAAACAGCACTGCAGTGGTTTAACTCGGACCACAGGACACACGAAACGGAAAGCAGGTGTACTCCACACACCACTGCCAAGCAAGCCATGTCATACTGTAACAACAGTGAGCTACACCTCACTCGACAGTATTTTTCCTCGAGTACTGACCAGCCGAACACTCCCTCACAGACACGCCTCTGCTGGAGCACCCCTGAAAGCCAGAACACAATGTACAAGGCAATTCACGCTGCAATTCCAAGACCTCACAAGTTTCAGCCCTGGCTTACAAACACGGCGCAAACTGCTGATGGGCGTGGTAAGAGAGATCCCGGAGGATCAGAGCAGCAGCAGCAACGGCGGGCACGGACGCAAGCTCTGTCGGTAGAGCTGTCAAACGAGGCCGAGACAAACTGCGGGCTCAAGCCCGGAAAAGCTGAAGCTCGCTCGATGCCAGAGACAAGAACCTGCAAGCAACGCAGAGGAACCTCCCGAAGAAGCCGCCAGCGCTGCCGGCTTCCCCCGCACTCACCTTGCTGGATGTCGCCGTTCGCCCCGCCGGGCACGGGCACGCTGAGCTGCCGTTCGGGCTCGGGCAGGCAGCGCCGGCAGAAGGAGTGCAGGCAGGGCAGCAGCTTCGGCTCGGCCTCCCGCCGGCTCTGCAGGCTCTGCGCGCAGACGGCGCATGTGTCCAGCAGCGAAAACGGCCCCGGCGCCGCCGGTGTCAGCGGAGGCACCGGGCTGGGGCCAGGCCCTGGAACGACACCGGGCCCCGACGCCGCTGCCTCGGCCTCGGCCTCCCCGAGACCGCGCTCCACCGCCGCCGCCGCGCCGGGACTCTCCCGCTCCTCAGGCGGCACGGCGGCCGAGGGGGAGGCGGCCGCGGGCTCCGCGCCGCCGCCTCCGCCCGGCCCGGCCTCGGCAGCCCCCTCCCCGCCGCCGCCGCCTCCTTTGTTTTCCGCCATGTTTCCTCCTTTGAACCCAGCTCCCCGCTCCGCTCACGTACGGCGTCACCGCGCGCCTCACGCAATGGAGGCGGGGCCCGGCCGGCTGCGACCCGCAGCTCCCGCCCGGAGGGAACGGTGGGGACCCGGCGGGCGGGAGGGGCTGTGTCCCCATCACCACCCGCTCCCACAGAGGAACAAGCAGCAGAGCGCTGTGGGGAGCCCTCTGAACGCAGTGAGTATCCCAGAGACGGGAGTTGGGGCCCTGCAGCTGATGGCGGTGGAGCACCGGAGAACGCGGGTGTGTTACGATGCTAAGACCTGCAGGCAGTGCGCCGTACCGGGCTCCGGTGGAGGGTGAGAAGTACACGGAAGAAGGTAATGCGCGTTCCCATGACAGCCGTGTAGCACGGGGCACAAAACCCCGTGGGAAAAGGGGTGTGAAGCGACAGCAAAGTAGGACAAGGGGAATGGCTTGAACCTGCCAGAGGAGAGACTGAGATGAGCTCTTAGGCAGAAGCTCTTCCCTGTGAGGGTGCTGAGGCGCTGGCACAGGGCGCCCAGAGAAGCTGTGGCTGCCCCATCCCTGGCAGTGTTCAAGGCCAGGTTGGACACAGGGGCTTGGAGCAAGCTGCTCTAGTGGAAGGTGACCCTGCCTGTGGCAGGGGTTGGACCTGGATGAGCTTTAAGGTCCCTTGAACCCAAACCAGGCTGTGATTCCATGAAAATCCCTTAGGCATGGCACAGTCCAACTGGGACCCCTCACATGCACAAAGAAGTACCTGTGCAATGCTGTACACCCTGTCCTAGCCTTTCTCCCAGGCTGGCATGGGCCAGTTACAAATACTCTAACAGCAGCAACCTCCACCCAGGCTCAGTCTCCCACAGTGGGTTCAAGTTCACACACATCAGCCATGCAGTGCCAGTCACTGGGTTCAGTGGACAAGGCTTACTCTGCAGACTGCTCGCAGGCTGGCTTTTGAACACGAAGCAAAAGCCATAAAGATAGCAAAACTGTGTTTATTAAAGGCATAGGGGAAAATGTAAAATCATGAATAGATTTTTAAGAGCTCCTACATTTGGTATTTAAAAACAAAACAATTCACAAACCAATTAAAATACATTTAACTATGCACATAACACATGTGAACAGAGCATTTTGAGTCCTAGAAATGAAAACAAAGAAAAGAAACAATGAAAGTAACATCACACAACTGCAACTTGAGATGTCTACAAAGACACAGCATCTCCAAAGGTTTTTGCGTTAACACATGCTGCAGTGAGACACCAAGGGTGAAGTCACTGGAAGTCTTGCTGGATGTTCTCCTTGTTCGCCTCACCGTGCTGCTGTTTGATTTGTGAGATTTCATTTTCCAGCTGCACAATGGTTCGTTCAATCTCATAGTTTTTACTGACAAGAGACACCCATCTGGAAGGGAGAAAAAAATTAAAAAGCCTTTAAGTTTTATGTAACCATCCTCTGCTTTAAAATAAAGAGACAATTATTGCTCCAAAAAGCACAAAGGCATGGAATAATGCAGTGTTTTTCTCAACACGATAAACATCCGTCAGTAGCAATGGTGGTTTGAACAACCAAAGTTAAAAAACGTAGGTTTTAACCCTGTCAAGATTTTGTATGCAGAGATTTACTAGAATCAACCCCACTGACTGCCAGTATTTAAAGAGTTTAAAAAACAGTTTAGGCACTCTGAAGGAGCTGATGTGTCCTCCTTCCACATCTGTTGCTCACTGATTCACTTAACTGTAGTGACTCTCACACAGACCTGAATTACAAACCCTTTGTGCAAAGCAACAAGCAGTTTTCCCACGGTAACATCCCACAACAGTACGGAAAGATCACAGATGCTCTGCACGGAAGAATTCCAGGCAGAAGCTTTACTTGTGGAAGGTTTAGCAGAGAACTTGAGATACTCACGTGGATTCCATTTCTCGGAGCTTGGCCCCAGCTGTGAGTTGCATGTTCTTTCGTTGCCAGTTCAGATCCTGAATGTTTTTCCTGGGGAGAAAAAAAGATGAATTTCTTTTTATCTCCTTTCTTTACAAGCTGTAATTTCTAATTTCATAAAACATTTGTGTAGCCAGGGCTGTAACTGCAACAGATAGATGGACAAATCCCAGTACAGAACCCTAAGACAGACAGACAGATAGACAGAAACAATAAAAGCACAAACACAAAACCTCCGCTGTACTACAAGCAAAACTTCCAACATTCAAACCCACTGCTTGACGATGGCAGGGTCAGATCTGTTAATTACTGTTGTTACTGGGTCTTTTTTCCTGTGACTGTGGCAGCAGCACACACACAAGCCTTGCACAGCCTGGGGGAAGAGGCTCACTTTCCTTCCAACTTCATTCTGAAAAATGTAGAAAAAAATCACTCACCTCAACTTCTGAAGCTCTTTCTGGGCTTGTTCTATCATATGAACCAGATGCCTAAGAGCGCAATGGAAGCAAAGTGTTAGGAACACATACAATTGCTGGCTCTGACCCATTTAAGATACAAAAAGCCACAAAAAGGTCGTGCAGGAGTGAGTCCAGAACCTGCGATTGTGGCTACCCCATCCCTGGCAATGTTCAAGGCCAGGTTGGACGGGGCTTGGAGCACCCTGCCCCCTATGGCAGGGGGCTGGAACTGGATGAGCTTTAAGGTCCCAACCAACCTAAACATGTCTGGGATTTTATGATACGTTCTGAAGATCCCCACTGATGTACACAGGGAAACACCTCAACCACAGAGAAGCTGAAGCCAGAACTTCAGCGAGGTCCCGCAAAGCCTTACTCGTTGTACACTTTCCAGGCATTACAGCCGTGCTGCGACATGAGCTCCAGGTTCTCGATGCGCACGGCCTGGTGCTCCAGCTGCGCCATGGAGTTGTTCACGCACTCCTGCCACGCCGTGATGTCGTTCTTCTGCCCGGAGGACGGCGCCGGCAGCTCGTACCTGCAACAGAACGCCCGCCCGCCTCAGGACGGGGCGCGGGAGACTCCGCTCTCGGGCCGGTGCCCCCCGGCCCTGGGGCCACCCCGTTTACCTCTTCATGCTGAGCAGCTCCAGGGGCTGCCGGGCCGCCAGGCGCTCGAACTCGTTCCGCATGATCTCGGTCTGCGGGAAGGCGCGGGTGAGGCGGCGGGGGGAGCCCAGCCCGGGCAAGGGGCAGGAAAGGGGGGAGCTCGGTCCACCTCACCTCGAAGGCGCTGAAGTCGTGCGCCGGCAGGTAGCTGAGGTAGTTCTTGGTGGGCCGGTACCGCCGCGTCTCCTCCTCCACTAGCGCCGCGGCCTAGCGCACACAGGGCGTCAGGCACCTCGGCTCCTGGCCCAGATCGCTCCCGCCTCCCCGGCCCGGCCCGGCCCGGCCCGGCCCACACTCACCGCCTCCCGGACGCCCGGCGCCTCATAGCCCTGGTCGAAGTAGGGCAGCGCGTCCACCACAACGTCCCCGGCCACCAGCCCCGGGCCCGCCATGATGCGCCCGGGCCAGCACTGCGCCTGCGCGTCGCACCTCAGCCACGGCACCGCGCAGCGAACCCGGCCCCGCCCCTCGCGGCCCCTCCCCGCCCAGCCCCGCCCTCCGCCCCGAGACCCCGCCCCTCCCGGTCCTAGTCCCGCCCCATCGCAGCGCGGCAGGAGCAGGTTGAGGCTCGGGCTGGGTCGGTAACGCTGAATTGACGGTTTAATAAGTCAGGAGCCGCACCCGGCCCCAGCCCGCCTGCAGCCACAGAGGAGGCCGGCTCCGGCCGCAGGGCAGGCGGCACCCGCGGCCCGCCGCTGGCCCGCAGCAGCAGCAGCAGCGCCCACTCATCTCTTCTGGAGAAACTTCATTTTAGTGCCTGTGGAGAAGAAAGAGACACAAAGGCCTCAGCACCGCTGAAGGGGCAACTAAAAACAACACAGGGGCGCACACAGCAACAAAGAGGCTCTGCTCTCTTTCCCATGCAGTTATTTGGTCAATAGCAAAAGTCTTGGGTATGAGGATGGTGAGACGCTGGCACAGGTTACCCAAAGAATTGGTAAACAGAGCCTTGATCAACATGGCCTAGGGTGAGGCATCCCTGCCCCTGGCAGGGGGGTTGGAAGTGGATGATCTTAAGGTCCTTTCCGGCCCAAACCAGTCTGGGATTCTATGGTTCATTTAAACAAATACAAATGGACAAAAAGCAAGGGTGTCCCTTTACCGAGACTGCGAAGGATTTTGTTCATTCCAGTCGGTTCAGTCCCTGGAATACTCTCCAAATACTCCAAAGCACGGACCTCAAACAGGCCTAAAAGAGAAAAAAAAAGAAACAATAAAAACAGAGCTATTCCATCTTTTAGCATGTGACAGCTTGTCTCATCAACAAGGAGGTTACAAAAAGGAAATCATGGGTATGATGTAGGCTACAGGATGAGAGAGGAGAGATGTAAAAATCCTTTGCTTCAGCCCTTGATTAGAAGGGCCAGGGCTACCACTGGCACCAAAATGCCAATGGAATAACTCACCAGGACAAAAGGTGTCCTAAGAGTTAAAGTCACCTGACATGATACTCTGAAAGTGAATCAAAACCAGAAAGCAAGATCCAGCCTCACCTTTGACCGGGTTCTTTCTCAGCTCTCGGTCCTGGATGAAGCCTGCAAACATCTGTGTTTCCATGAAGAAGTGAAGGAAGTGCCGCACGTTGCGCGAGACGTGAGACTTGCGGAACAGCTCCCGCTGGAACACGCGCTCCCCTCTCTCTGTGACGTTCATGTGCAGGGAATAGTGTCCAACGATCTCCACAAAGAACTGCACAAAAGCCTCAGAGACCAGGGAGTTCAGGGGCACGTCACCTGTGAGGAGGACAACAGAGGGACTTTTCACTGCGCATTCATCACTTTGGTCCTTCCTCTCCTGCAAGAGGAGCAGCAGTTACTTTTTAGGCTGTCTCAGACATGAAATCCCAGATGCGTGTTTGATACCAAGGAAGGCCCAGCTCAGGTTCCACGTCCCTCTGGTGCTGTTGCCCCAGAGCTGGATCAGGCCTGCAGGAGGCGTCTCCCCAGAGTGCAGCAGAGGGGGAGAATCCCCTCTCTGAGCTGCTGCTCACGCTCTGGGGGTGTAGCCCAGCACATGGGGGGGTTCTGGGCTCAAGCACACACTGATGGGTCACAGGAAAATACCTTTCTAAACTGCGTATTTCCTCTCACTCATTTTCCCATCAGAGCTGTGGAGATTTGCTAATGTGAAAACACTTGTCCGCACAAGTACCTTGTGTGTCACTCTGCTGATGAGACAAGATTTCACTTCGTTCTTCCAAGACTTGGACAAGAGCAGCCTGGAGTTTATGGGGCAGGATCTCATCTTCATCTGATACCTAAAGAGAAAAAACGCCATTTTGAGAACCTTCTCATGGTGAACTGATGAGAAATACTCATAACATGGCTAAAACAGCTTGAGGGAAGTTACTCTGTGATATGGTTTGTCTTGGCAGAGAACACTCATTTGTCTTGCAGCCACAGAAACGAAAACCATTTGCTCAGCACCCTCCCACTAGATCCTCCTGTTGGAGTCACACACACAACAATGTGTGCTATATCCATGACACAGACTCACGCTTACACTATCAGTGATAAAACACCCAAAACCAACAGAAAATAACCCAAATCCTTTAATACCTTTCTCCAGTTGCAGGCTGCAATGCAAAAGAGAACAGTAAGGCAAGGAAAAGGAGATGCAAATATCCTCCTGAACTAGTAACACTCCCATACATTTACAGCAACTTGTGATGCAGAAGCACATGAGGTGAAGTTCAGCAGAGAACCGCAAGTGAATTGTGATGATGATCTGTCTCCTCAACTATCACCCTGGGCAGAAAAATCAAGCAACCAAAGGAAACCCACCCCAGATAGATGAGAGAGGACAACATGTACACAGCCAGACAGAAAGCAGCAAAGAGCCTTAGTGGTCCACTTCACATAAGGAACCCACTCATCCCTGTTCAAATCAGGCTCAGATAAGCAGCATCTTCGGCTTCACAGAGTTCTGCACCTCATGCAACTTCAGTCTTACAACAAGAACTTGTAAGCCTGTCCCCTTCTCTGTTGGTCAGAAAGGAATGCAAGATACTTCTTCAGCCACTGGAGCTGCCATATGAATACCAGCTTTTGCTGAGGTCTTGTTCTCATTTTCTTTCACTGGTGCCTTTTCCTGGCATGTAACACTGAGTGACTGCTCCTGTTATTTCACTCACCTCTTGCAAGAACTTGTCAGCACAAAGATCAACGATCAGCACCTAGGGAAGGATGTACAAAACACACAGACTCTTATAACCAGGTATGCTGCTGTACAGAAAAAAAACTTTTCTTTCTGAGTGCTAGAGGATGTCACACACCCAACACAAACTGCAGCCTGTCCATAAGGACAGTGAATAGTATTGATCCTTGATACCAGTGGGACACCCTGACATGTACCTGGCAAGTTCACCAACCTCAGCAAAGTTTGAGAGTTTATATTAAGACAGAACCCACAGAAACGATTCCAGAGGTCAGCTCATACCACTGCCACTAGCCCTATACTGCGCTTCACCCAATTCTCACCTCTTCTATGGGCAGGTCCTGGAGCTGTGGTAATGAGCAGGAGAGAATGCCAATTAGGAATGGGGTCGGAGAGCACACAATATCAATCATAGAAGTTGGCAGGACTGGTATGTAGGTGTGTTGCCAAGTGAAAGGATAAAGCGTTGCAACTGCAGCATGGCCACATTTAGACAGAACGCTAGAAAGGTAAGAGAAGCACAGAGTTGATTGTCAACTTCTCCTTCAGTACCAGGCTGCAGACACAGGTTAGAAATGCTCAGGGGAACATAACTCACACATTTACACATCAGCACAAGCCCCATGCATCCACTTTTAAAGGCAATTCTGAGGGGCCAGGAATAGCATCAACCCAGACTAAAGAGGTAAAGGAAACATTCCTTTATCTCCTGTCTTGGGTAAATAGTATACTCCAAATTCCAAGCATGCACGTGTTGTGTGAAAATTCTGCAAAAGCTTGTAAATGTCACTATTTACAAGTCAGACAAGCTTGCACATGAAAACAGCCCCAGTGCAGAAGAAAACAGTGTCCCTCAGAAGCAGTTATGCAGACTCCACTTTTACCTTAAGTTGTCAGCGACAAAGATCACCCTCCTTTCCAGCAGGAGAGAGGCAAAGACCCGAATTGTGTGAGTCACACTGAGACACCTGAAGAGGCACTCGAAGTCAACATGTTCCAGTCGGGAATCCAGTGGGCGGCAGAGCTCCAGCACCTACGGGCAATCAGAGATGCAGAGCACTGGAGGAGAAAAGCCATCACAGAGCAAGGCCAGGGGAGGGGAAGCCTGGCTAGAACATGGAATGGGGGCTCCCTGCAAGTGGTACCCCGTGGCCTGGACAGTCCAACTGCCCAGAGGACTCCCAGACAGATTTGCCTTAAAAAGCAGGGAATCACTTCTACAGTAGATGATTCAACAGGGTTTCTGTGGCAGCCCCTCTTTGGACTTAAAGACATTATCCCCACTTGCAGCACTGTGTGCAGTGCTGGTGTCCCCAACAGAAGGACATGGAGCTGTTGGAGCAAGTCCAGAAGAGGCCACGAGGATGCTCAGGGGCTGGAGCAGCTCCTGTATGAAGACAGGCTGAGAACATTGGGGTGTCCAGCCTGGAGAAGAGAAGCTGCGTGGAGACCTCACAGCAGCTTCCAGTGTCTGAAGGGGGCTACAAGGATGCTGGAGAGGGACTCTTCATCAGGGACTGTAGTGACAGGACAAGGGGTGATGGGCTCAGACTGAAACAGGGGAAGTTCAGCTTGAAGATACAGAAGTTCTTCCCTGTGAGGGTGGTGAGGCACTGGAATGGGTCCCGCAGAGACATGGTAAATGTCCATCCGTGGCAGTGTTCAAGGCCAGGCTGGACAGGTCTAGTGTGAGGCGTCCCTGCCCATGGTAGGGAGTTGGAACCAGATGATCTTGAGGTCCTTTCCAACCCAAACCATTCCATGATTCTATGATTATCAGACTGATTTTTTGCAGGCAGCATCTCTCCACAGGTCAGTTCACAAAGTGCCGCTGTGCTCCAGCACAGCAAAGCTGCTCCTGGTTTCCATTACCTCATTTCCTGCTCCTGGCAGGAAACTCCTCACAGTAATTGTGCGTCCAGGAGCAGGGAAAGGCGCCTCCATGACACTGTGCATGAATGGGTGCACCAGGGCTGGGGACATCTCTCGCCTCTTCTCCACTTCATCTAAAATCTGCAAGAGAATACATTAGACATTGGTCTAATGGCTTGCTGAGGCCAGAGGAGATACCAGCCTCTGTTACAGTATCCCATGCCATAGCTACATGTGAAGGCTCCAAAACAGACTCACAGCCCTTTCCTCCCTCGCTTGGGATCCCTGAAAGCTCCCCTCAAAAGTCTGAGCAATCAAATGGGAATAGATACCTATGAGTACAACTTTCCATTCTCAAATCCAGTCTCTTGCCACTGTAAGAAAATGTCTTGTACATGGTAATTGAATTATCACGAGTAGTCAGAGGACTAAGAAGAGCAACACCCCAACCTCCTCCCCAGTAATCTTTCTAAAACACTCTTCTAGAAACTCTGTGCTCCAAAGATTAGAAATGAGCTTTTTTCCTTATCGTAAGTTTGCCTCCTGCTGTTCTTCTGCAACAGCAGCTCTTCTCCTGCAGTGGTCATCCCCAGGCTCTACCTCTTTATCTACTCTCCTCATAGCGACAGGAAAAACAAGCTGAGATTCCCACCCCCCCACCCCCCAACTGATTTTCCATTTCCAAGTCATGGAAGAAGAGGATGAAGGGGCACCATCAGTCTTATCAGGCTGATGAGGAGCCACTTCCTGACAGTAATTTGGATGAAGGAATAGTTATCTGTGTATCAGCTGACAAGTCTCAGCACTAGCATCATTTTATCTGCCGTCAAAGCAAAGGCAGTGAGGAAGCACCACAATCACTAAGCAGTTCTAGACCGGAGAGAAGCACGCAGTTACTTTCTGGAGCTTGCAGGTTGTCAGAGACTCAAGTCCAATAAGTAACAGGTTCCCCCCACTTCACCTTGGAGAAGAGGTTGAAGCAGCCCAGGCGGCTAACAATGCAGTACACCTCAGGAAGGCGCTTCCCTTTCCCTTCTGGCTGAAAGACAACAGGAACAGGTGAGAACAGGGATGCAATAAGGCACCTAGCACCTACACTGCAGCTGATTCACACAATTCCTTCTGCTGGAGTTCCCTTTACACTTCGGACTTAGGATTCCTGAGGAATGTTGAGTTCCAGGAGCTGTCTTTCAAGCCCAGAGCTCATTTCACTCTACAGGGGCATCATCGTGCTCTCTCCTTTACTCATTCAAAGGGCTGGTAACATCAGCAGCACAGGCACTACGTAACTCACATGGGAAATGACTGCTGAGTCACATCATGCACTTAACTGTGCATTTATCAATGCATTCTTTACCCTCAACCCAACACACAGATGCTTACCAGGAGCTTCCTGCAGTACCCAAACCAGCGGCTGCCATCCTCCCCCGTCAACACGAAAGAAAATGTTTCACTGGGGAACCAAAGAACAGTGAGGGTTGAATTCACCAGCCAGGTCAGAGACTGACAAAGCTCACAGACTACAAGCCATTTTCTTTCTGTCATGAAGACCCCTTGCTGTGGTTAGCAAGCTACTTTGATCTCTATTCAGTGTAGAAACCTGCAGCCCATGGACTCCCATTGAACTACTACAGCTCTCTTCCTTCCCAGCTGCTTCTCTGTTCTGCCAAGGAACAGCAGAAGCACTTGGTCTTGAACAGACATTACAAACTTCCTTCTTGCAGGAAAGAAGGGGCTCAGGCAGAAACAGCATTTCCCCTGCCACCAGCATCAGGGATACAGCCTTTCTCATTTTAACTTGCTCTGCAGTTCCTCTGGTCCAGCACACTGGCACCTACCTAAGCTTTCAGCATTGACTGTTTCAGGCATGAGTATTCAAAACCAAGTCTTTACCTTTTAAGGTCTGATGCAGGAAACCAGTCTTTGGGATCTGGAAAGCAGAACTTGGGAATGACCTTTAGCCTCTCTTCAGTATCCTTTGACTGTCTGAAGGGATGTTCAGTCTGGAGGAGTTACACATGCTTTTGAAGTCACTTAAGTGTGGTACACAGCTTCAGCATTTAAAACAGTGGGAGACAGCATATTCCTGACACTTCCCAATGCTGAACCACCAGATGGCTAATGCCCAAGTATAGGAGAACACATTCTGCCTGTAACAGATTTCCAGTTCCCTCTTGGGTCTTTCCTGCTGATTGGACCTTTGTAAAATTACCCACCTGGTAAGAAGTCTTGGTAAAAGTGAGTAAGGATTTACATGCACGGCCAAGTTTACTGGGGAATAAAGCTAGAACTGATCCCCCCAAATGATGGCTGTGTCAGCTTGCCTCAGTTCTAGTCCTAGGAGATCTGAAACTTGTGATGTGCAGATCACTCAGCTGTGAAAACAGCTCTGAATCCTATCTGAAAACAGATCTGAATCCTATGTCCCACTTACCATGAGAGGGCTCAAGTCAAACCCCTCAATGACTACAGGACAACTTTCCATACTCAAAACTGCCCAGAAGGAGCAAAAGTAAGGGTTTTAAGTAAGAGAGATCATATTTAAGTAGGAAATGGCCCTGAGAAGTTGAAAGTTTATTGCACAAAGTTGATTATAGACCCTGCACCCTCAGTCAGTGCATCCAGGTTATTCCAGTGTCCCAAGCTGTGACAGCATGAAGGAGCAGTCTGGAAAACAGCACAGCATTTTCAGAGTAACAGCTGCACAAAAGCATTGATGTCCTTGGGCACACAGCCCAAAGAAGAGGGTGACAAGCCGATTACTTGGAAACAAGGCTATTTTTACAAGGGAGACAAATCAGAACACCTCCACAATTCCTGGGCAATGTTTCCTGCACAATCCCAGCATGACAGACTGTCCCATGTAAAGTAACTCATCAGAACACTGTAATTTGTCTGTAAAAGAGCAAAGTGCTTCATATTGCACACCTGTATCCAAACCAGTGGCCTGCTTTACTAGTGAAGAGTTTAGGAAGGGATACACACCATGAGAGGAAACAAAGAGCTGCTGAGTGTGTTTTGTGGGCAGGTTTCCATGCAGCTCCTACCTTGCTGGGAAACTGCTGTATGATCTGTGGTGTGTAGGTCATCTCAGATGCCTTCTTGTGCAGTGACACCACCACAAACAGCTCAAACAGCCGCTGCTCCTGAAGCTCTATCAGATCCCTCTCCAAAGTCTGGTAGTGTGGGTTCCTCTTGGAGGTTGACCTCATCAGGCACCTGTGTCGACCTGAAGAAAGGAACAAACCCAAAACCAGGCTGTGGCTACCACTGCCAAGCACCTATAGGTCACAGAAGAGGACTTGTCACTACCTTTAGAAGGGGGAAGGGAGATGGGTGTATTCGTCTACCACTGCTGCACTCTATGGGACTTAGGACTCCTGCATCAGCTCCTCAAGCACAGAACTCTTCCAGACAGGGGAGCACTGGCCTTGCAGCAGCTCTACAAATTCCTCTTAGAATCACAGAATGGTTTGGGTTGGAAAGGACCTTAAGATCATCCAGTTCCAACCCCTCTTGGCTGATAGCTAGCATTCTTCTGCTGTTTCCACACATCTCAGAGTGACAGGCTGTGCTTAGGATGAGGAAGCCCAGATTCACCAGTTCAGTAATTGCCAGGCCTCAGGCAGGCAGGACTAAAGCAGCATGGGCATCAAGAGAGTCAGAGCCAGTTTCCTGGCCAAGGAACCTCCAGGCTGTGATGTCCTGACAGGCAGCACCAACTCACAAGCACAGGCACAGCACCCTGATGTAAGAAATTCCTGTGGCCCAGGCACCGTGACACATTGTGGACAACTCTGAAATCAGGCAGTGACTCAGTCACTGTATTTCTGCAGAGACTCTTCACATTACTCTCAACATAAAACAGTGGAACTTCACTACTGACTCCAAGTTAAGGCCTCATCTATGCTCCCCTCCAAGCAAATGAAACATCTGAAAGTATGGATTTTGAGTCTGTAGCTTGGGCCTATGATCAAACTCAGGACTGTGGAACCAGACAAATAGCCAAGGGATTTCTCCCCAGAGGAAAGGGCATTTCACAACAATATACACATAAAATACAACCACAGGAAGGAAGTAGGGTAAAATAACCTCAAGTGCTAGCAGCAAAGGTGATCCAGAGACAACCTCCTGCAAGACACAGTTAAGTGTGCCTCTACCAACCCAGAAATTAATCCAATTCTGACAACTGGTAGATTAATGGTGTTAAACCTCAGGAGAAGGGGCAGAAATAGAGGTTGATTTGCCACAGCAACAGCTCCCAGCCTTGGCCATGCTGCCTCTTAGATATTTTCTTTATCTTAGCAGAAGCCAGGACAGAAGCAATGACTAGTCAGTGTGCTTATCCCAGTAGAGCCTTAGCCAAGTGTGTAGTGCTATGGGGATGGGACCAGCCCTTGTGATTCACTCACTTTTTGGCTGATTTTCCGTATCACTTTCATTCCCACTGGTTTCACCTGAAACACACAGAGTTTTCATTTATTAGCCATGCAGAAGGAAGATGGGCAACACCCAAAGTTGGGCAAGAGAAAGAACTTTATACTCAACACACCAGCACCGTTCAGGACTGCCCACCTATCCTGCTCAAAGCAGCAGCACAGAATGGCCGGGACTGGGCAATGTGCTACAGCAGAGCTGATGCCACGTCCCTGTTTCTAGTAAACCACCTGCAGGTCGGCTGAACATAGACAAAGAACAGAAACCAAGTGGCTATTTGATACCACAGTAAAAGTTAACAGAGCTGCTGGATAGAATATACTACAAATAAAGACCATACCATGGCTACAAAAATCAGAAAAACACAAGAACCTCACTTTAGAGGCACAAAAGCGATGAGTGGAGTAGTCAGAGGTGAAGCAACCTGGGGGTTTGTTCTGCCTTTTTGAAACAGCACTATTAACCAGCAGCCCAGGCTCAGATCACAGTGAATCTGCCACTTGTGCCAGTATTAAACTTGGGTTAAGCAAGTGCTCCCGATCTGAGCAGTGCTGAAAGCTCAGCAATTACAGCTGCAAGACATGGGCCAGCACTGTTGGGTCAGCCCAGCAGGACGTGCTGGAGGTGGTGGTGCCCGGCCTGCCAGCAGTACCCCAGCATGTGCAGGAGCTGGGCTGCTCAAGAGGTTTATGGTGCTGGAGACTCTGTACCTTTCACTGGAGGTGCTTCTCTCCCAGCAGCACTGAGCAACTTCACCCTCTTCTTCCCACGCTTAGAATCAAAGACCTCCTGGATTTTTAGTACCAGCTGAAATCCAAAGCAGAAGCAGAGGTTAATGTGGAGGTCCAGAAAAGGGCTCCCAGATGATTGCAGCCCAACAGCAATCATCTAGCACCACAACACTTGGAAAGGCTGCCCAAGTCCTACCAGGCTGACAGACTGCTTGCTAGAGTACTTCTAGCACAGCTCAGTGAATATGAATCCACACACAATTTCTGCTATGAGAGAGATTCCCGTTAGCACAACTCAGAGCTGACACCAAACTGTACAAGCATTCTGGCATCAGATCTCCATTTTTTATTAGAAAGTCCAACTACAAAGGCACTTGCAAGAATATCTTCTGAGCCCTCCGCTACAAAGGACTCTGAACTCTTCATGCTCTCAAGCATCCCAATTCTTTCCAAGCCCAGAAAGAGCAGAGCACTCTGATTGTAGCTTAGGGTTGGTTGCTTGCTTGCTTTTCAAGTGAAGTTGGATGTCAGACAGCTACAGAAAGTTCTCCAAAGCACAAATCAGGCGCAGAACAAGGCTGCTCTAACACAGTCCTTGTTCCAGGAATGAAGGATTACGCGTCTTTGTTTTGCATCGTGAAGAAAGGCAGAGGGACAGAATAGGGACACCACATATCTGGTCCAAAGTCCTAACGCTTTCTGTTACTCCTGTCACTGCCTCCCTGGGTTCCCCCCTCAGTTGCCAGGTATAGATGCTGTAGGTGGCTCTGGTTCTGTCTGTCAGAGGAAGAGTTATAGGAAATGCAGTGAGCAGGTCAAGTCCATTCTTGTCTCAAGTTAAGAATTCATTAAATGCTCCCACTGAATGTAGGAGGGTGGGGCCCAGCCATTTGTCACCACAAATGCTACATAAAAAGATCTTCTGCAAGAGAACCTGTTTTTCAGCTCAATCCTTCATCCCCAGCTCAGCAAACCAAGCTTAGGCTCTTCTCCTTTTCAGATCTATTCCTCCCCGTTTTCTGCATTAGCCAGTCCCAGCATGAGGAGGCTGCAAGGAGGAGAAGAGCCCACAGCAGAAAGCTACTCTCCTGCTTCATAACCTGATTTCTTCCCCCTCCTGTACAGCCTTACCTAAAGGATTTCTGTGGGAGTTCTCTGGTTTTGTGCAGCTGAGTCACCAGGGAGAGACGTTGGGTGTGTTTGTGTGTTTCTTAAGAAAAAATAACTATTTTCCTTCTTACACTCCAACCTTTTCCTCAACCTCTCAAGCAATCTTGGCTCGATTCCTTGTGAGCAAAAAGAGTCAAGTGTGCTTCCTGCATGCAAATTGCTACCAGATTTCTGGAACAGGTTTGCTGTTGGAGAATGTTGTATGCTCCCCCTCCAAATGGAAGATTCTCTACATCACAGCATTGCTATGATAGTGCCATCTTCTTCCTGATTTTCCAGGGCTACAGTTCATTCAAAACCAGGCAGAAGTTGTTTGTTATCTGAAGCACTTCATGTTTGAACAGTGCTGTGCAGCTCTCCAGCTCTGCCTCTCGGTCTTGTGCAATTTGAGCAAATGCACCCAATTTCCACAAGAAATAAAGATCTGCAGAAGTTCAATTATTTTTCTGTGGCAAAAGTAAGTTGTTACCATTTCCACAACTGGAATTTGAGGCCTATGCACAAAGTGCACTACAGTGGTACCTGCAGCCAAACTTCTACAGCACATTCTGTTCTTTAGCACTGAGGCACATGAGCTGGTCACTGATGCTGCTAGCTAGAAAGATTCCACATATCAAATGAGAGTTACAGTGGAGTCCTCTATTGTGAAAGTGGCTTAAAAGTCTTTCTCTAGCCTCAGAAGCACATGGCACACAAGTAGGAGGGAGCAGGAAGAGGCAGCAGAGGGGTAGGAAGGCTTTGTGAAATGTGCTTCTCCCTAAAAGCCACTCTTCACCTTTAGACTATGAGATATCTGCAAGGGTATGGTCCTGATGGCAAGTCAGGAGCTCCAAGCCAACACGCCAAGTAACCAAGGGCCCAACCAGCTCCCTACAGCAGCCCCACACTGTCAGCCACTAACAACCCAGTGCCTGGAGCAAGAAGATGAGGGTCAGACTGAGAAGTCATCAGGAACAGGAGACATGTACATACAATTGGACAGAGCTGGCCCTTTAGCTCCCAGAGAGCTTTCTCGCATTCCTGCACCACATTCAACACAAACCCAGTATCACCACGCTTCATGGAAGCAGTAGCAACAAGGCTTAAATGACAAAGCACAAGGAAGAGCTCGTATTCACACACAGCACTGATTGCCAGGTGAGCACCCACTACTCCATTTCCAGACTGTTGGCCAACAAACCCAGCACTGCCCCAGCTAGAACTGACACTGGTTTCTGATCCCCAAATACCTGCCTTGCTACCTGGAGGGGAAATGGTTTGAGCAGGACCACTTGTCCACACACACAGCAGGGCCAACCAGCATTCACCTGCCATGACCACTTACAAAGCACTTACAAGGTGCCACAAAAGCAGCAAGATTGTGAAATTCCATGCAAGAGGTAAGGTTTCACACTTTAATCTCACCCAGGGCAAGTTCTTTCTCCTGCTAGCAGCCTCTACTGCTCGGAACAGCTTCCACTCAGACAGTGTGACAGGCAGGGTTGTGTCCTTCACCATTTTCCCTTGGAAACTTGACTGGGAGGGCTTTGGTTCAAGAGTCTTGCGACTGAGGAAGGGAGGTTTTGGGGGAGGCTAGAAAACAGCATCAGAAGAGATGGTTAAGCATGGGATTAACCTTTGGCCCAAGGAGTCAGATTATAAATGATGAACTCCTGCTCTACAAAGCTCTCCATCCCACCCCACATACTCAAGCATCTCATGAACCCTCTCTTGTTCCTATTCTTTTGCTCCTTAGCAGCTTAATCAACTGCCATTGCCATGGTTGCTCATTATCATTTACATCAATAACAAACAATAAAACGCAAGGTAAAACAATGGGAATGTGGGGCCAGGAGAGAGCACAAACAAGGCCCTGGTGAGGATGACTCTCTGTAAAGACATGACAACTTAATCTCCTCATCCTACCTTGGGAGCTCTCCTGGTGCTCCGGGGGGGTGGCAGCTTCCAGACAGATGGGACCTTCCAGAGGGGTAAGGGCAGCGCTCCGATATCTTCATATGGGTTCTCTTTTGCAGGACCTGGAAAAGCATTGGGCTTTAGGGGATTTAGGAAAGGAGATCAAGTCTTGCACTCTTGCAAGGAATGTAAGCAGAGACCAGGTGCAGTTGCCTGCCAAGCTTTAACAGGGCCTGAGAGAGACTTGGTTGAAGATGGGTTAGGTTCCTACCACACAAAGACCCTTCTAACCCATTACCATCAACCTGGCAAACTGTGCATAGATTCAGCGAAACAAAACACTTCTACCACTGCAGAGAAAGTAGCTCTATTGCAAAGCAGCTGATTTTGACAGTGTTCACACTGATCTCTGTGCAGCACTCAAGCAAAGCATTTGAAGAACTTATAACTCAGTTTAGCACAGGCCAATTCTAGAGCTCTTCCATGACACCTGAAACCAGGCTGTTCACATGCAGTTACTAATATCAACAAGGAACCCCGGATGGGGAAGACTTTAAAAGTCGCAGAGCTGGAAAGGGCCTCAATGCATTCTCATCTTCATTCCTCCCTCCCCAACAAATTTACTACCCTTAAATAAAGCGAGTGCATCCCCCAGAAGCACAGGCACATACAGATAATGTCCTCATAGATGTTGTCTTCTGACTGTGTGTAGACAAGCCTGGATCCTGTAGTGCCATTTGTCTCTTCTTGAAGCCTGTGGGACCTGGTGGTTGCCATCCGGTTGCGGAAGCCCTGGATGTCCTCAAACTCAAAAGATTTCCTAGAGGAAAACCAGTGTAACTTCTTCTAAAGGCAACTGCATGTACTAGTGAATTGCTGTCTCCAGCCCACAGAGAGTATGGTCTCCCTGGGGCCACCAAACACAGGGATGCTTCACTCTAGACTGATTTCTACATGCTGAGGCTTAAGCCCAGGCAGCAGCTCAGCTCCACACAGCTGCTCACTTGCTCCCACCCAGTGGGATGGGGGAGAGAAACAGAAGGGTAAAAGTGAGACAACGCTTGGGTCAAGATAAAGACAGTTCAATAGGTAAAGCCAAAGCTGCACACACAAGCAAAGCAAAATAAGGGATTCATTCACTACTTCCCCTTAGCAAGCAGGTTCAGCCATCTCCAGGAACGCTCCATCACACACAATGGTGACTCAGGAAGACAAAAGCTGTAATTCCAAAAGTCCCCCCTTTCTTCCTTCTTCTCCAAATATTCATTGCTTTTAACATACGGTGTGGGATATCCCTTGACTCAGTTGGGATCAGCTGTCCTGGCTGTGTCCCCTTCCAGCCTCTTGCCTAGCCTGCTCACTGGTGGGGCAGTGAGAGAAGCAGAAAACACCTTGAGGCCGTGTGATGACTGCTCAGCAACAGCGACAACACTGGTGTGTTTGCAACACTATTTTCACCACAGATCCAAAACATAGCACCTCACAGGCGATTATGAGGAAAATTAACTCTATCCCAGCCAAAGCCAGCACACCAAGTGAGTCCTACTCACACTGGGAGATTTCTAACTTAAACATGGTTAGAGGCTCCATGGCCAAGCACACTCCAAGCAGGTACCATGAGTCCCATCCTGCCAGAGAGGCAAGAACCCAAACCACATTTTGCAGACTAAGCACTTGCTGCAATCCTCAGAATTAGGGCACTGCTTTCTACTGGAGCTCACCTACTACTTCTGTGAAGGTGTTACCACATTTGTGAGCTTCAGTTCTCATACACTTGGCCGCCACTTCAAACTCATGGCACAGAGATCACAAAGGAGGTGGCAGGGATTTAGCCCATCATCATAAAATCTGGGTTGTTGCTGCATGCTTGGCCATGGCGAAAGGATGTTTCAGGAGTCCTAGTCACATCTCCACCTATCACGTGCACACTCCTCTACCACAGCTGCCCTAGGCAGCTCCTCTGTAAGCAGAAGTAGTGCAAGCCAGCTCAGAGGTGTTTTACTCTGCAACAGGGACCTCTGGATGGGGAAAAGCAAAGAATAGCCAAACCTACTGCAATAGGAAAGCTGGAACATTGAGCAGGCACACTGCACAAAAGAGAAAGCTATTCTGTAATCCATAAACTGCAGCTAAGGACAAGCTCAGAGCAAGAAGCAGGCAGCACCCTCCTTGGGACCAGCATATTGTCACTCAACTCTGTTGAGTCACACACCTTAGGGTGTGGGACTGACATCTGTTTGGAGCTTTTACCCTTCTTTGCAAGATTATCAGGCAGTGGAACAGGTTACCCAAAGAAGTGCTAAATGCTCCAACCCTGGCAGTGTTGAAGGCCAGGTTGGACAGACCCTTGGTCTAGTGTGAGGTGTCCCTGCCCATGGCAGGGGGTTGGAACTGGATGATCTTAAGGTCCTTTCCAACCCAAAGCATTCTATGATTCTGTGATTATCAGCAGCAAAAGCAGTGCACAAGCAATGCTGGAAAGGGGATGCTTTCATCCAGAAATATCCTCTCTCCATCAACAACACTGGTACTAGCACTTGTACAAGGACACTTTGGCAAGCAAGATGTTGGAAACCATCTAGAAACTCATTTAAGGAGACACGAGAGATGAATTGCTGTACCTCTGGGTTCTCCCTCTGATCCTCCTGCTGGCTATTCTCTTCTCAGGGTTGTTGGAGGATGACACTGAGTCTCCTCCATGCTGCTTTTGTACAGGAGCTTCCCTGGTAGCACTGGCATCATCACAGCTTCCAGCACCCTTTTCTGCTAGATAGCGGAAAGTCCTGCGGGGCTTGGGTGGTGGGACAGCAGCAGGAGGTGGTGGGAGAGCAGCAGGAGGTGGTGGGACCTCCTCTTGCCCCTCAGCCTCAGGGTAAATGTTTTTCAAGCTCCTCTCTGCCCTGCAGAGAGATTCTGCTCCTTTGACTTTAAGTTCTCTTTCTGTGGAGCAACAGCTCCCTTGCTTCCTCTGAAGGTCCACGGGAACTGGTGGGGCTTTGCCAGGCAGATGGGGATCTACTCTCCTCCACAGAGCTTGCGAGGTGTAGAAGTTCCCTGGGGGCAGTCTTGCTTCTGGGTCTAGGCCAGCTTGCAACTCTCCTTTCTCCTTGGCTTGGGAAGCTATAGGGCTGTATGCACAGGGCTTGAGGTCACCACAGCCACCAGTCTGCAAGCAGCCCCGTGCATCTTCCCTGAAGTCCAAGCCCAAGCTCTTTGGATCTTTGGACCCAGTCCTTCTGCCCTCCTCTGCATGATCTGGCTTCACTCTGGGCAGAGCATCGCAGCTAGGATCATACCTGACTCCAAAGTCTTTCAGCTGCTGTTTCTCATTGCTGGAGCACCCTCGTGTCCTCCCCTCCCACTGGGAGATCTTCTGCTTGATATTACGGCAGTGGCTCCGGGAGAGGGTCTGCACAGCAGAGCGGGAGAAGCTGTTGTCCACTGACCCTGTTGGGTGCATGGCAAGTGCCAAGGAGCTCACAAACACCCCATCTCCAGCCTTGTCCACATCCACCTGTGCCCCACACACATCAAGCTGGCATGAGGCTCCAAAGCACCCACTGGTGTCCAAGAGCCCCTGGGTGTCAGCTCCACAAGGGCAGCCTGGCAGCACAACCTGCAGAGAAAGAGAAGAGCAGAGCCATCAGCTGAGCTCCAGCCATGCACATCACTGCTGCTCTGGCAGTTGCTGAAGAACGTTCCTCCCCAAATCACATGTTCCAGACTGGTTTCCAGAGCACGCTGCCCACAAAGCCTGTTTGTGTAGTACACTTCAGGGAGGGCTAACAAAAGGAAAGAGAGGTCCCACTGGCTTTAAAAAACCAAACGCAACACCACAACAGGAACAAAACCCAGCCAGGGATCCCAAGGGTCCAAACTCAAGGAAAGCATTTTAGAGCAGAGGAACACAGCAGCACAGCCTGTCTGCAGCAGGGCCCACAGCCAGCCCCTCTGCTGCTTGCTTGGACTGCTGCAGCAGGATGTCTTTACAAGAGCTCCCAACACAGCAAGGTACCGCATCAGCTCCAGAGAAAGGGAACCCCATCTACTTCTCCAGAGAGTCAGCAGCAACAGGACTGCTGCTGCTTCATGCAGAAGGACTAGGCCAGTTGTGATGACTGGAGAAGAAGTTCCTCCTCCTGGGAGCGTGCTCCTGCATCACAACACAAGTAAAAACCTGCCTGATGTTTTGCTTGTCAACACCTGACCTAGATTTGCCATCAAAGGGACTGGAGGGCAGTGCTGCCCAGCCTGTGGTCTGCAGCCAGGGCAGGTTTTAAAAGCATACAAGAGACCAAAATGCAGAAGAAATTGGTGAGTTCTCACGCTCAAGAGGAAAACAACCCTGTTTAGATCAGCAGAGGAGAAGGAATGCTAAAGAAACACTCTAACGTCTACCCAAGCCAAGCCTGCACAAACAGGAGCTATGCTCTTTGAGACTACCCCAAGGTGTAATCCAGAGGATAGAGCAAACAGTCTCCAGGTAGTACAGGACAAGAGGTGGGTGAAACTGCCAGGGAGACCCTGGGTGGCTACACAGACCCAGCACCTGCAGGTTCAACACGACTTTAGTACAGACACGTGGTGTCCCCAGCCTCAGAGCCCTCTGGCTCTCTCTGTAGCTCTCTGGGATCCCCCATATTCTCAGAACTCCTGACCAGCATCAAGCCTGTCTCTGCAGAAGTGAGGTGACGCCACCACTGTGCAGATGGCCCCAGTGCCAGCTCCAGCATGGCACAGCATCCCCTCCGCACTCCTGCCAGCAGCGAGTTGCAGGCAGGCCCCTGCTGACCCCAGCACAGAGGGGCAGGGACAGGGCAGAACAAGTTGAAGGATGACACAGAACACACAAAATCCAAACCCCACCTACCCCTGTCCCAGACCCCTGGCCTGGGGTACTGCAGAGCTCCTGTGCCCTGCTGCGAGACCCTCTTCCTGCCCAGCCAGGCTGCTCCAGGCAGCGAGGGGCCCCTCCTATAAATAGGCATTGTTTCCAACACATCCTGAGCCAGAGCAGAGCCATCCTTCCTCAGTGCCTGCCTGCACAGCTCTGATTAGCAGACAGGAAAGCAACTTTCCCCTTTCCTACACCATTGCATTTACTCTCAGTGCTGCTCCTGAGGACCTGAAGCATAAACCAGCAAAGAAGCAAAAGCTCTGATGGGGAAAGCAGGTTAGCAGAGGGGTGAAACAACCTCCTTTTAGCCAGTACAGCTTCAGAGCTTTTACTCCCTGCCATGTCTTCAAACACGGGACCACTGGATGAGGAACTCACACAGGGACAACTCACACAGGGACAGGACCACAAAGGACCTTGCAGTGTGGAGCAATGGGCTTATTCACAGGATTAAGCAGTTCAAGGCCACCATACGCATTGATGGAGCATGTGAAGCTTCATGCTGACTGTAAGTCCACGTGGCTCCCCTGCTTCTCAACAGCGCTGGCAGCTTTCCTCTCTGAATACACCCTGGGGTTCAGAACAACAGCCTGGCAAAACATCTGCATGCAGCATCCATGAGGCCATTCAGGCAGAGCAGGTGGAGCAGCCCTGCTCCTCTTTCTAGTTGGGTCCCTCCCCAGAGCATGCAGGGCTGCCTGTGCCCTGGCAGCTCAGGTTTGCTGGCTGCCAGCCTGCCCCAGATCCTCCCTCCAACCACTCACACGGTAACGGTGCAATAACAAGTGCATTTGCTGTAGTTTCCTCAGACAGTCTGACACATTCCGATATAGAGCCACGGTCCAGGTCAGCCTGGTGCTCCTGACCTCTCCTACTTCAGTGCCTCCATGATGAGGCACAACCAACAAGTCCCAGCCAGCATACAGGTACTGGTGAGACTCTGCAGGGCTGCCTCTGGTTCTGCTCACTGATGAATACCCAGAGTTCAAGCAGTTCACCTAGTGCTCAAGCAATCACGCAACTACCATCCAGAACTACACAGACCCATATGCAGAAACAGGATCCACACTGAGCTCATTTTCTCTCCTTTGTAAACCTACCAAGTAATATTACTTCTCCAGCCAGTGAAGCTCCACGCACTCCCTGGAGAAGCAGTACTACTTAGAAGGTGAAGCCATACGGTTCACTCACCTAAGAAGCTGTTCAGGTCTTTCCAAGGCATGTCACTGGTCTTTGAACCACCAGATACAACTAGAAACACCCAGCTCCTGGCTCATCTTGAACACAGAGCAGAGAGCAGAAGCCTAAAGCACCACCCCTCTCCTGCTCAGCACTGCTCCACCAGCCACAGCCCTGGACCATGTCTTCTGAAATAACCATCCGAGGAGGAGAATAGTGCAGCCCTTCACCTGCCCAGGCTTGCAAGCTGCTATCAAGAACTAGGCATTTAATCTAAGCTCATTACACGAGCCAGGGCAAGAGTAGAGACTGATCTTTGGTGAGGAAAGAGCAGACTGAGATGGTCTGATCCAAGCAAATAACCCTCAGATAAGCCAAAACCCAGCTTAGGGACACAGAACTGGTAGAGACCACCCGGGTGAAAAAGCCAGCACTTGCACCTCAGGGACCACACACCCCATTCCTTTCACAAACAAACCAGATGTAACATGACTGCTTCTCTCCTGACCTCTACTTCCAAATTCTTTCAGTGGCTTCAGGATGCTTCACAGTCTTTCCACAGAAGCCAAATGCATCATCTCTACTGCATGAGCAGTTCCAGCAGCTTGATGTAGTTGAGAATGCTGAATTATCTCACTGAAAGTGGGGTTTGGGGTGAAGAGAAATACAGTAATTTCCAGACAAAGCATCACACGTTTCTCCTGAAAGGGAGCCTCTTGGATCCATGCTGTTTGAACACAGCTCCCACCTCTTCAACCCGAGCAGAATGAGGCACACTCACACCACATGATAGATAGCCCTGACTCTTTTTTCCAGTTCTGAGAGCCAGAGAGCACACGAAGCATTTTCCATGCAGCGTCTCGAGACAATTCCATTTCCTGAAACCACACACTCCAGGAGAGAATGCTGCCACTGCTCTCCAAGAATGAAATACTCTGATGCTGAGGTCAAGCCCGCTCCTTGCAGGTGCTGCTGGTACCCCACAACCCCCCTTACCACCCTCATGCCAGTAGCTGATCAGCTAAACAAAGCACGAACACACCACCTTACCTTATCCTGCTGCACCACGGGCATGAGAGCACGCAAATCACTGCCTTGGCAAGCCCATGCAGTCCTGAAGCAATCCCTCGCTCCGTTTGTGAGAGCCGTGCCGCTCCAAACCACCCAGGAGACCTCCTCCTCACCAAGCCTCCTGTGCTGGGAGCCAAATAAAAGATCGTTTCTGGTCTCCTGGAGCCTAGGGAAGCTGCCAGCTCAGCGCTGGAGGGATGAGGGGGCAGCCAGCACAGCAGCAAAGACCCCTTCTAGAGTCTTCAGCTACTCCCATTCTGTTCAGCTCTGGGAGGAGCCTGAAGCTTTTCTGAACCAAACTCTTGCCATGCTGATGCCTGAAGGACATGGGCAGTACCAAACATGCAGATTTTATATCAAAATAAGTAACACTTCAGGAATGCAGCGTGCTTAGTCATTTCCATCTCGATTCAGAGCAGCTCTAGCTATTAACTCATTCAAAGCTTCTGCCTGTCATGCTGAGAAACAGAGCTCCACCTCATCAGACACACAGCCCCCTGGACATAGTAAATGTGATGTCAATCTTAAGCGCATGGCAAAAGAAGGTTAAGTCTGACCTCTGCATGGGTCCCAAGACTTTTGTACTGAGAAACAGATGGATCTCTCAACTTCCAGTCTGTTTTTCAAGTGATGAAATCCAACTTCTTGAAAGCTTTTACCCATGCTAAAAGCCAAACTGCTTTAAGCATGTAAGCCCTGAAGGCTGCTACAGCAGAGGACACCCGGATAGAACCCACAACGTACTATTTTTAAAGTCATGGGTTTTAACCTGACTCACGGGATCTGAACTTTCGTGTTAGCAGGACTGACTCACACTACACCACGGGCTGGCTCTGTGCCCCAGGAATGCCACAGCCTCACACAAGAACTGAGACCCAAGGTAGTGACAAAGGAAAAGTTAAACTCAAACAGGAGTCATCCTGGAGCTGTTTCCTGGTGCAGCTGTAGGAGGTGAGATTCCAGGCTTCCCTCAGGGCTGGCATCACCATAAAGCCACCACCACCTTTATGCTACAAGGGCCACCACAGGCATCCTGCTCAACGCCTTTCCCTCACCACTGGACCAACTCCCTGCATCCCCGCTTCGCCTGACAGCGGGCACACTGGCTTGTTCAGCACGTTCTCATTTCTCTGCCCCACTCTCCCTTCTCATGCAGCAAGGTCACCACTCACTCCCCATCCCTCCTTTCTGTAACTGACAGGCAGGGACGGCAGAAACCACAACCACCATTGCCCAAATACACATCTCCAGGAGCTGGTTTTACTGCAACTCTTTATGCTCCTATCATTAGGACTGATGCAAGCCCCAGCTGTCAGGAGAAAGAGCTCCCACCACTCCTAGGGCTTTATCAGAGCCCTGGTAGCCAGGTGACAAGCTGCATTCAGCCATGGTAACTGGAACAGAGGGATCTACGCAGTGACCAGGAAAGGCAGAGAGGCAGGTCCGGCATAGCAGCCTACACACCGTGCCCTCAGGCAGCCCTGCCAGAAAGGACCTCTGCAACACCTCATGCCTGCATACCTCAGTGCAGCAAAGCACAGGTACCGAGCGCTACCTAAACCATCACAACCTCCTAGTAAATCATTTGCCTTAACGAAACTCCGGAGGATCACAGCGCGGCTGAGGTGGGCAGGGACCTCTGGAGCTCAGCTCGTCCAACCGCTGCCCCAGCGGGGCCACCCACAGCAGAAGCGTTTCCTGATGTTCAGAGGGATCTTCCCGTGTCCCAGCTAGTGCCCATCACTGGAAAGCGCCTGGCTGGGAGCCCTGGGCGCACACCGATGTCATTCCCACACTCCCCCCCCGCCCGTGTCCTCTCCGTGCGGAAGAGGACGAGGGGCCGCGGTAGAACACGGGGCTGGTGACTCAGCTGAGGGGGCACCCACATCCTCCGCTCAGCTCCCTGCCCTGCCCGCGGGGGAACGCTCCGGTCACTGCTCCGCGAGACCCACGGGGCGGAGCTGCGGGACCCGGCACCGGCGCTCCCGAGCCGGGGATGGCGAGCCCCGGCCGCAGCACTGCTCCCCTTCTCGCTCAGGGGCGGCAAAAGCCGCCGCGGTGCTTCCTTACCCGGTCCCGGCAGCCCCGGGAACCGGCAGCGATCGGGCCGCTGCCAGCAGCAGCACGCGGAGCCCGCCCGGCTCTGCCAGCACGTCCCGCCCGGCCGCCCCGAGCCTGGCCCCAGGGGCGGATCTAACCCCCGAGCCGGGCCGGGCCGAGCCGCCCGCCCCGAGCCCCCCGGGGGCCGCCGCTGTTCCCGCCCCGCCTCACCCGCTGCCGCCGCCCGGCCCCGGCTCGGCTCCGCTCCGCCTGGGCGCTCCCGGCGCGCACCGAGCCGCCCGCCCATTGGCTCTCGCAGCCGTCCCTCAGCGCCACCCCCGCCCGCCGCCGCCGCCGCCGCCGCCGCCGCCGCCGCCGCCGCCGCCGCCGCCGCCGCCGCCGCCGCCGCCGCCGCCGCCGCCGCACGGGGGCACTGACACCGCCGCTGACAGACCCGGCTTTACTGCGCGGCCCGGTTCAACCCCGCCCCAGGCCCGTCCCTCTCCGGTCCGACCCCGCCCCGGGTCCGTCCCCTCACAGGTCCGGCCCTGCCCCGGGTCCGTGCCCTCACAGGTCCGGCCCTGCCCCGGGTCCGTCCCCTCACAGGTCCGGCCCTGCCCCGGGTCCGTCCCCTCACAGGTCCGGCCCTGCCCCTAGTCGTTCTTGAGGCATTCGGCGATGAGGTTGAGCTCGTAGCACCAGGTCTCGTAGCGATAGGCCATGCGGATCTGAGCCACGTTCGTCTTCCGGATGTCGTTGCCTTGGGGCCCCTCTTCCTGGTAGTTGTCACCCAGGAACTTGGCTTTCTCCTGTCAGAGAACAGGACAAGCACTGCAGAGCCCTGAGGCGCCCTCAGCACCCTGCCCTGAGCACAGCCGGGAGCAGTGAGACCCCCCCTCGCAGCACTCAGCGCAGTTCTGGTGTCCCCAGCAGAAGGACATGGAGCTGTTGGAGCAAGTCCAGAGGAGGCCACGAGGTTGATCAGGGCCTGGAGCCAGCCTGAGAACATTGGGGTGTTCTTGGGCAGAAGCTCTTCCCTGTGAGGGTGCTGAGGCGCTGGCACAGGGTGCCCAGAGAAGCTGTGGCTGCCCCATCCCTGGCAGTGTTCAAGGGCAGGTTGGACACAGGGGCTTGGAGCAAGCTGCTCCAGTGGAAGGGGTCCCTGCCCGTGGCAGGGGTTGGAGCTGGAGGAGCTTTAAGGTCTCTCTTCAGCCCAAACCAGTATCAGATTCCATGTGCTGTGGAGCTGCTCCTCATCCCCAGGCCTCTAGGACCCCTAGAGGGGCACCCACCTCATGGGACAGGCCGCACTGCAGGATGCTGTTCCTGGCAATTTCGCATATGTCACAGGTGCTGAGCTTGAAGACCTGGGCAGCGATGGCGTACTCCTCCATGAGGGCCTCCTGCAAGCACAGGCTGTGTTAGAGGCTCCACTGCTGCCAGGGCCACCCCGGCACACTGGATCCTTGGCAAACACTGCTGGCTTCCCAGAGAAATGAGCCCAGGGATCAGCTCCCGCTGTACCTTGGTGTAATGGAACTGCATGGGGTCATCTGTAGAAAGGGACACCATGAGGCCCTTCTGGTGGTAGTCAGGCAATGGGTTCTTTGCGTACTCCAGGAAGAGGCTGTTGTTGCTGAGTGGGGACATAGCAATGGGAATTTGGGCAAGGAAGTACAGGTACTGCAACACAGGGGTCTGCAAAGATGATCAGAGTTGCCAGGTTAGGAATACAGTTGCTGTGTCCTTCACCTTTCCGGGGTCCCTCCTTAATCAGCCCAGTGCCCCAGCTAGGAAATCCAACAAAGAGAGTTCACATGTGCAAGAGACAGGCAAGGGAGCAGTCCTCCAGGGAGCACAAGAGGCCAAGTAAGTTGAAACCTGTCTGATTTCAGCACTCGTCTGGCTCCAGTGACAACAGACATATCCAGTAATAGGTCTGTGAGGCTGAACCTCTGAAATCTGAATATGTTTCTCAGCTACATCCCCAAACATGCCTGGAGAACATCCCTCCATGCCTCGAGGAACCCACAGAATCATGTAACATCTTCTGGAAGCCAGGCTGTGTCAGTCTAAAGCAGAGGTGCAATTAACACAGCTACAGTGGATGCCAGCTGTGTGCATGTGCTCCTCTGTCATGCCTGGGCTGCTCTGTGACATACTACTCCACTTACCTTCTTGAGGTTGAGACCGTGTGAGATGTTATCTGCTGTCATGAAGGCTGTAAGCAGATGTGTGATGGCCCCAGCTTCCCCACAGTGTGGGCGGAAGAGGAACGTGTTCATGCCACGCTGCCTAGGCACATGGAAGAAGAACTTAGAGCAAGCAAGCAGCAGGGGTAGGTGGCCATAGTGCAAGATTCCCTGACTTCAGGTCCAGCTCTGCCCCCAGCAGTGAGTCCCCAAGAATTCAGCTTGACCTAGGAGCACATTACTTGTCATCATTCCTTATCTTCAGCAAGCTGTTCTAGTGGAAGGTGTCCCTGCCTGTGGCAGGGGTTTGGAACTGGCTGAGCTTTAAGTTCCCTTCCAACACAAACCAGGCTGGGATTCTATGATCTGTGCATGCAATAGATGCATCTCTGCAACTCCAAAGTTTTCACCCCAGTTCATGACACTTCCTACAGAAGAGTGTTTGGATGGCTCTGGGACATAAAGCTCCAAACTACACTGGTGGCAGAGCATGGGGGGCCCCACTTTTCCACACAAACAACCAAAGAGCTGAGACAACTCATGAGGCAGCCCTGCTTCTGCCAGCCCATCACACATCCCTTAGCAGATCCTGGGCCTCACCTGCGTAGGTTATTCAGCACCAGGATGTTGGCATACATGTAATATAAATAATAGGTGTAGGATGGGTTCTTCTCCGAAGTCCATTGCTCTGGCTTTGGGCTTTTAGTGCAGAACATGTGTCCACTATGCTTGGATTCATCATCCACGCTGTCGAAGCCAGTGATCTGCTTGGCAAGGCAACAGAGAAGCTGCATCTCAAAGCTGCCCTCCTCCTCATGCCCAGGCAGACTAGCTCGCCCTGCCCCACTGCAGCTTGCCATCACCCCACTGCAGCCTGTAGCCCTGTCCCACCCCCAACTGGCGCCAGTGAGGTTTCCCATGGGTAATACCCCATTTCTTGTGCACAAACAGGAAAGTGAATGTTCATCACACCCCAACAACATCATCAGGTGGGACTCACATGGCGTAGAAGGACACTCAGTTGTTTGTGGGCTTGAGGGTTGATAGTTGCCTCAAACACAGGGACAAAGATATTCTCCAGCATTTTCCCAAAGTGTGGGAGGAAATTCTTAGACCTGAATACATCACTGTGGACACAGATAGGGATCAGCTGCTAGCAGAGGAACATGTCCCACTGTCCCCACAATCCCTTCAGGATAAAAAATGAGATAGAGTGCACTTGTTCAACCTGGAGAGGAGAAGGCTCTGGCGAGACCTCAGAGCAGCTCCCAGTGCCTAAAGGGGTTACAGGAAACCTGGAGAGGGGCTCTGGACAAGGGCCTGTAGGGGCAGGCCAAGGGGAATGGCTTTAACCTGCCAGAGGGGAGACTGAGACGAGCTCTTGGGCAGAAGCTCTTCCCTATGAGGGTGCTGAGGCTCTGGCACAGGGTGCCCAGAGAAGCTGTGGCTGCCCCATCCCTGGCAGTGCTCAAGGCCAGGTTGGACACAGGGGCTTGGAGCAAGCTGCTCCAGTGGAAGGTGTCCCTGCCTGTGGCAGGGGCTGGAGCTGGAGGAGCTTTAAGGTCCCTTCCAACACAAACCAGTCTATGATAAGTCAGAGGGCTCTTTCAGACCCACAGCACATACTAAATCCTAGGTACTTGGATCATCCACTTCATGTTGGGGGAATAGATGCGGTGTTTGGTGAACCAGCTGGCTAGCTTGGGCCACTCCTCAGCTGATCGCCCATAGATTGAGAGGCGAGGCTCCATGTACTGGTACTTGGCATCCTCCAGATCAGATCCAACCTCCTGCAAACCAGGATGCAGTTGCCTGGGGACCCTCCAGCCTCAGAGCACAGCAGCACCGCAGCTTAACTGTGCTCTCCTTCTCTGTATTCTCACCTTGATGATGGTAGCAAAGTACTCGCCATCGATAGCATTGTCTGTTTTCAGATAGAGGTCACGCAGCTCACTGGCACCCACGGGGTTGTACTTGTCATTGAACTTGTCAAAGCGCTGGAATGTCTGACGTCCCTGGGGAGGGGAGGGTCAGGGTAAAGGCTACACACACTGCTGATCCAAATAACCCAAAATGGGGTAGCCAGGAGCTGCTGCATCCTGCCACAACCACTCAGATGTCATGAGTGCACGGGAGAGGGAAAGCTGTGCCTACAGTGGTGGGTAAGTGTGACCTGAGAGTGGTCCTGTAGTAAATGCCCTACCACTTACAGCATGGACATCCAGAGAATCCACTGTCAGGTCATAGGGATGCAGATTGAGCTGTTGGAAAAGCTGTTTCAGAGTAAGCTGTTTGCCCTTGGCATCATAAACTATGCGGTCAGCATCCACAAAGTAGGATTTCTTGATAAAACGCAAAAGATGCTTCTGGTTCATGCAGGCTGCAGCATGGATGTGTGTGTCCACCTGAGAAACCAGAGGGACAGCTACCTAGTTTCAAATTGGAATGCTCAGGCACCATTACACGGAGGCCAACAAACCCCATATATGAGCCCAATATGCGTGGGGAGCTCAGCAGATGAACACAACAGGATGAGGCCAAGAGCACCCCAGTCAGCACCATCCCATTAGCAGCAACAGTGTAGATGCCACAGACCTTGACTCTAATATGCAGTTGGTGGGGTGGGGATGGCACCCAGACAGCTCATCTGCAGAGTCACCAGGGCTCTAAGCTTTGCC